GCTCTGGGTATCTCAGCACCTCCACCCCCATGGCTGGTGGCTGGAGCCTGGGCTTCCAGGAGACTTTGGTGGGGTGCAGCCATCCTGCTCCCAGTCCTGAGCCTCTGCCAGCATGAAGATAGTATATCCTTGGAGGAGGCCTGATCCTTGGAGCTTCAGTAGCCTCTTGCTGCCCAGGACTCACAGTGATCCTCCTGCCTCAGCCTCCCGAGTGTTGGGATTACAGGCATACGCCACCACACCTGGCTAATGCAGAGAACTCTTAATGAGATCTGCCCCCTCTATGGATTGGGAAACCAAGTCTAGGGACACAGTGGGCTGCCAGGGACCCTCCTTTGGCCCCTCAGATCATGGGTCTCCAGAACCCAAGCAGGCCCCTTATGATGAGGGCCAGGACACAGGAATGGCCCCATTATCCCAGAGTGAAAGGGGCTCGGAGGGGAGGCCAGGAAAGAGGGTGGGGGCTGCATGGAGAAGGGAACCAGGTCTGTAGGTCTGGAGGAGTTTGACTGGGGAAAGGACACGCTGGCTGGGGTAGGCACGTTGGGTACTGACAAGGTGAGGGAAGTGTCCGTGGGGATAGGGAAAGCTGAAGTGATGCTGCAGGCAGAGGTAAGGCCCCGAGGTAGCTCTGCCCACGGCTCTCGCCTCTGGTCTGACTCCCAAACACCCAATTACTCCTAAGTGCATCCGATCGACTCAAGCGGCTGGTCCTGGTCATCTCGTCGATACCCTGCGCCTGCTGGCCCTGCGGCTCCTGCTCCATCTGATGGCCTTGTTAGGGCTAATTGCTCTGGCATTTGGGTCTGACGGGGACAGGGACAGCCAGATCCTGCAGTGTACCATGGTGTCATGGCTCTCCTTCTCGCTAGGGGGTGGGGTGCCACCTCAGACTTAGGGTGAGGCACCGAAGCCTCCAAGCAGAGCTGCCTAGCAGGGCTTCTAGTGGCCTGCCCAAGTCAGCTGGGTAAGAGGAGGGTGTATCTCCACTGTCCCCCTTGTTGGGCTCATTCTTTAGCAGCACCCAGGAAGGCCGGGGGTAGCATGATGTCCTGAATGACCCCAAACCCAGCGTGTATCAGTTGGTGATCATTCAGGCCTCTGAGTCCAGAAGCAGAGGCACTAGCCCCAGGTGCCCCATCTGGAGAGAGGCTTCTTGGGTGGCACTGGTGCTTGGCTCCTAAGGGGCTGTACAGAGAGCTCAGAGTGGGCCTGGTCAAAGTGTGCAGTGTGCATCTGTGTATCTGTGTATGTGTGCATCTGTGTCTGCTTGAGTACGTGTGTTGATGTGGGTTTATCTGTGTGTGTCCATGTGTCTGTGTATCCTTGTGTCTGTGTTTATGTGTGTGTGCCTGCGTCTGTGTATGTCACGCAGCTGTGTGCATTGTCCAGGTTCCTGCAGGGGCGCTAACTGCTGGCTGACAAAGCCCTTCATTCTGCTCAGATCGATGGGAGGCGCTCTTGGACCTGGATTGCTGGGTGTGTTTCCCCAAAGTGTTTGCACATGGTTCTGCACAGGGCAGCACAGAGCTGGTGGGGTCCAAGCTGGAGAGAGTCAGGTCAGAGTGGCTGGGGCCACCGTGGACCGGCTCCTGGACTGAGGCTAGGGCACAGGTCTTTTCTGCACCCTGGACAGGGTAGGGAGGGAGAAGACCCTGGCACCTCATGCCCTCCCCTGTCAGGCCACAGCTTTGGCCCACAGAGCCACAGGACAGGGACAATCCTGAGGCTGTCGGCCTGGGACCAGAGCATCACTGTGCCCCTTGAGTCGGCCAGGTCTGGAGGAACCCGAGTGGACCAAGATATGCATGTGTGGCAGGCAGGAAGCCAGGGCCGAGTCCATGCCCTGCCTTGCCCACACAGGAGGAGGTATGGCCACCTGGAAGCAGCACTGTCATTATGGGCTATTAAGCCTGTGTGCTGAGAAAGGCTGTCGAGAGAAGATGCTCTGCTTGTTGGAGCCGGCTCTGTGCCCTAATTGCCACGGTGACAAGCATCTGTAATTGCTCAGGATGACTGTGAGGAGCAGAGCCTGGGCAAGAGGCCAGAGGGTTTCACAAAGGGGCACAGGGCTGCAGAGCCCATACTCCAGAGACCCCCAGGGGTCTCCCACTACCCTGACCATTGTGCCCTTCCCTGGTCTCTCTTTTGTGCTTGGTGCCTCCTCCTCCTCCTCCTCCTTCTCCTCCTCACCTTGGAGCTCACTCCCATGGGCTCTGCCCCAGCTTACTCCTCCCTGGGAGACCCACACTGGCCCTAAGGCTCTCTTGGGGCCTGACCTTGGCTTTTGGGGAGCCCCTTTCCAGTCCTACTCTTCCCTCCTGGATCCTGGTGTCAGAGGTGACATTGGCAGCTACCTGTCAGATTCCCCCTTCGTGGTCTGGGATCCTGAGCCCCCAGCCCCTGGGAATGGCTGCCACAGGATCCTTAAAGACCAAAATCTTGGGGTGGGAGACTTGGACTGGAGACTTGTTGTGACCCAGAGAGGTCTTATATCTCAGGGTCTCAGGCCTCCTGTGTACAGCATGGATTTGTCTGAAGGGAGGCAGGACAAGACAATCCTGAAGTCCCTGGTGCTGGGCTCACAGAAGCCAGAGGTGACCGATCTCGCGTGCTCCTGGCCCATCACAGAGGTGTGGTGGTGGCTGTCTGCCTGCCTGCCTTTTGAGGGGATCTGGGGAGGAGCAGAGGTAGGAGGAAGTGAACCACCTGGCACAGGGTACAGCAGGGGCTGGGAAAGAGGGTGCAGGGCAGAGACAGAATTAGGGGCTCCAGGAGACCCTCATCATCTTGGATGTAGGAGGATCACAGCACAAAACAGGTCCAGGACAAGGCCAGTGCTAGAGTAGGGCCAGCTAGCCCTGCAGGGAAGGTGTAATGAGGTACTCACAGACACATACCCTTAAAGGCTGTGGGGCTGCAAGCCCGAGCAGGGGCAGGAGGCCAGGGCAGCATTCACCTAGCAGGGACATCCAGGGGCCTCCCTGCCCTCCATGCCTGCTCTGGGTGCTGCATGGGGGGGGTGCTCGGGCCCAGGAAAGGGTCTAGAGAGTGCAGCCCCCACACCGTTCCCCACATCGCTCCCGGGCAGCACAACCAGCCCAGGCAGGAAAACGAATTAAAAAGCAATATTTGTGTCAGTGAAAGACATTTGCTGAAAGGTTAAATCCACATCCGGCAGTGCGGCCCAGGCCCTCCGGCTTGGTGTTTGTTCGATATTCTGCCCCTCCTGTCCTGTACCACCTAAGCAAACGGCCTGGGCAAAACAGGCGGGGCAAAGCATGCTGGACCTCGGCCCGCCCACTGAGGGACCCCTGTGGCAGCCTGAGGGACAGTTGAGCCTTCAAGGTGGGGGTGGTCTCCAGGAGAGTAAAAACCTATCCGGATCCCAAGCCGGCCTGGGGGCCAATGCGGAGGCCAGGCTACCCTGGGGTCATCAGGGCTGGGGCACAAGCCTAGGCTCCAGGGGAGCAGGCTTACCTTCACATGGGGTCTTATGGAGATCCCTTCAAAGATATTTTTT